TAATTGACAAAAATTTTAGTTACATAGTGAAATGACAAAAATGTCCTTTCTTTATGAAGTTATGTTTAAATCACAGAACTCCTTAAATTGTCAAATATCCCACGACTGGTGCTTTGCTGATGTGAATTAATTGCAAATAATGGGGAAGGAGTTTGTTAGATGACTTCCAGAAGGAGGGTGTAATATTACAAAATATTATAGTAGGTGGGGTTTTATGAAGTTAATCTTTTTTTATATAATTATATTTTTGCTAACTTTTTGTTTACGTAGTCAGACAACTCTCGTATTTCATAAAAAAAAAATCTTTGTTTTATGATAGCACAAAACGGTATCATTTTTTTGAGGAAGCTGCATATAATGAAAACACTCTGGTATTGAATAAATGCCTCTTTACCCATAGAAGAGCGAACATGGTGGAACGACTTGTGGACCTCAACATTTTGATTTTGGGGAGATATTGATTCTTTCCGTATCAATTGAATCCGTTCACCATGACAGATTTTGCTTCAATGGAGTGTGCATGTTGTCTTGAAAAAAAACTTTGTGGGTTGATTTGATGATGCAAGTTGTCTTGAAATTTCTATTGTTTTTATAGATGTAATTTTCCTGGCTTTGGTTTTAAATTTTTCAATGTTTATGTCCAAACCTTTGTTTGTCAAATTCTGTGAGATTAGAAAAATTATATCTATAAATTATGAATTTTGGTTGTTGGATGCATTAGGACATTTGTTATGATTGTGCCTTAACAATATTTAAATACTCCACTTTCATTTTTCATGTGTGTGTGTATATGTGTGACGGTATGTGTATATATGTGTGACAGTGTATGTTGGTGTTGGGGGCGGAGAAAAAGAAAACATAGAGGAGAGAATGAAAGAAATCGTTATAGGTTTGGGGTTGAAAAGGTCATTTCAGCATTTAAATTAGTCAGTATAAAAGTCAAAGGGTAAAAATGTCAATTTATTACCATCTGAATATTCTTTTGGCAAATCTTAGGGGGTGTTACGTTACTTTATTCTTATTTTATTTTTTAAAATTTTTTTTTGTGGAATAAACATGAAATCTGATGAATGAATGGTCACGTGCGAGTAAGAATATTTTCATTTTTCCAATACCATTCCCGGTAGTTTAACATAATATCGGATCTGTACATTTGTCACATGCTGTTCTTTCTTTTTTGAATTTGAACACAAGGAGGGGGAATAGTGCGCATCATATGTGCTATTCATTTTTTTTTTTTTTTTTTGGGACTTTCTTTGCCCTAAGAAAAGCTAAGATGGAAAGAGAAATGATAAAATAAAGTTAAAGGTGCTAATATATAATGTCATGAAAGGTTAGTACAAAGTAAATCAAAAGAAAGATGACAATTGTCCATAATTAATGCTAATCTGCCCTAGAAAGATGACAACGGTCAATAATTAATGTTAATCTGCCCTAGATTGAGGCCATAGCATTGGGTATAAAACAAAAAAAAACTTAGACTATGCTCAAAACTAAATAAAGACTCAAGACTATAGTAAATTGGTGGTACTTCTTGAGTAAAATATTGAGGATTCAAGTCTTATTAAGGGGAAAATATGAGTAGTGTGTTGGACATTTCACGTCATTATATTCTTAACCAATTAAAATATATTATTTTATTAAAATGAAAAAAATTATTAAATGGTCGTGGACCATTTGACACTTCAGGATTTAATCCAATAAAAGTTGACGTTGAGATTTCTTTATAATATATTAATACACTCTAGTGTGATCATTTTGTCTATCCGAGAATTTAGATTTAACTCGTTTCAAGTACTGTCAATAGACCTGGACCATTTAATAATTTCTCTTAAATTAACTACAATAACATAATTGAGTGATTTCTCATTAAATTAAAAAGATATTGAATAACATAATATCGGATCTATACATTTGTCACATGCTGTTCTTTCTTTTTTGAATTTGAACACAAGGAGGGGGAATAGTGCGCATCATATGTGCTATTCATTTTTTTTTTTTTTGGGACTTTCTTTGCCCTAAGAAAAGCTAAGATGGAAAGAGAAATGATAAAATAAAGTTAAAGGTGCTAATATATAATGTCATGAAAGGTTAGTACAAAGTAAATCAAAAGAAAGATGACAATTGTCCATAATTAATGCTAATCTGCCCTAGAAAGATGACAACGGTCAATAATTAATGTTAATCTGCCCTAGATTGAGGCCATAGCATTGGGTATAAAACAAAAAAAACTTAGACTATGCTCAAAACTAAATAAAGACTCAAGACTATAGTAAATTGGTGGTACTTCTTGAGTAAAATATTGAGGATTCAAGTCTTATTAAGGGGAAAATATGAGTAGTGTGTTGGACATTTCACGTCATTATATTCTTAACCAATTAAAATATATTATTTTATTAAAATGAAAAAAATTATTAAATGGTCGTGGACCATTTGACACTTCAAGATTTAATCCAATAAAAGTTGACGTTGAGATTTCTTTATAATATATTAATACACTCTAGTGTGATCATTTTGTCTATCCGAGAATTTAGATTTAACTCGTTTCAAGTACTGTCAATAGACCTGGACCATTTAATAATTTCTCTTAAATTAACTACAATATTGAATTTCATTTGACGAGCATCCCATTGACCTGAAATGCCCACACACCCAATATCTACTCCAATAAAAGGTATAGTGGTAGCGGAGTGTTTATAAATAATAATAATAATAATAACATTAAAACGATATAATTGAGTGATTTCTCATTAAATTAAAAAGATATAAATTAAAAAGATATAATTGATAAATTTATTCACCAGTCAAACAACCAACGACAATGCCCGACCAACGATTTTGTTTAAGCAAAATAACAATGCTGGAAAAGGTACCATCCTTTTTTGGTGCATTGGATGACTGGAGAGTTTTTCTCCTTGGTCGGCTGTTTGGTTCTGGTAACAAAGGATAGGAGTACTCAATTGTAAATATGGATTTGACTAGACACGTTGACCAACCGTTTAAGCACGGTGTCACGGGCCTAGAGATTTGGCGCAGCGGCACGGCCCGTGCGGCACCAAGGCGTTGCTTCAGCTCGCGCAAGCGCCCTGGTCAGCCACCACGACCTGCCCTCCCAAGGATACATGCTGACTGGTTTCGGCCTGCCATGGCCTCGTCAGGGGAACGGCTCCAGCTCCCGACCAGTTTGTGCAGGGATGGCCAACTCCCTTCTTCATAGTCAAGTCCACGACCAGCGACAAGCACCTCGAACTGAACCGAGTCGACCTGCCTGAACTCTGAAGAGGTACCATCCTGTGCTCCTGCACGCCCCTTCCCTGGAACCATTCCCAGTCAAACTCTGCTCTTTGCCAACCAGCATGCGTGTCTTCCATCCTCCAAGCGTCTTAGGAATCACTTCGTGACATTCTCCCCCACCCAAATCATGCGACGTCCTCGTCGCAGTGCGGCGCTTCACTACTGCGTCCACTCCCTTCCAAAGTCTGCCTCCATGCGGTATGCTCGCCTTCCCACCATCGCTTCCTTGTGCAGCTCCCTGCACTGCACTCGCCCAATGATAGGCCTCGGACCAAGGGGACGTCCACTCCTCAGGGACGTGACTCTTCTCCGTCATGCCGCCTCCGCGACATCCCGAGCAAGCAATGGCCTTCTGCCGACTTGATGCTCGCCCTTCACCATGGTTTGCATCACCCAAGGACTAAGCACGAACTTTGGTGCGCGCGGCCCTCCGGCCATTCAATGCGCAACTTCAACGGACGCCTTTTCCTGGGGAGATGGAGGCTCTCCCCCCCCAACTGCATTGATTCCTCCTCATCGACGCAACTTCAATGCACCGTCTTCATTCTCTGACCCCTCCCGGACCGACAAGGGGGCACCCCACCGTGCTTTACCCCAAGTCCTGCTCTGATACCATTTGTCACGGGCCTAGAGATTTGGCGCAGCGGCACGGCCCGTGCGGCACCAAGGCGTTGCTTCAGCTCGCGCAAGCGCCCTGGTCAGCCACCACGACCTGCCCTCCCAAGGATACATGCTGACTGGTTTCGGCCTGCCATGGCCTCGTCAGGGGAACGGCTCCAGCTCCCGACTAGTTTGTGCAGGGATGGCCAACTCCCTTCTTCATAGTCAAGTCCACGACCAGCGACAAGCACCTCGAACTGAACCGAGTCGACCTGCCTGAACTCTGAAGAGGTACCATCCTGTGCTCCTGCACGCCCCTTCCCTGGAACCATTCCCAGTCAAACTCTGCTCTTTGCCAACCAGCATGCGTGTCTTCCATCCTCCAAGCGTCTTAGGAATCACTTCGTGACAACGGGCTCTGAATATATTTGGACTTTAAGAGACTAATTAACTCAATTAATTATAATTGTAAATAAAAAGACAGTCTTAGCAACAGATGTGAGGTGGTGTGTTTTGACTCTATCTATCATTTTCTAAATATGTTTGTTCTTTACCAATATTGACAAAATTTTAAATTGTGTGAAATTCTAATCAAACAAATATTCTATCAATAATCATATTTACTTACTTGAAAGGTTCATCTAGTAATCTGAATTGATTAAGTATATGGTTATTCCAACTCCTATTTGTTGCATAACACTGAATTCAATAATTCATCCAATAATCCAAGTGTTAAAAGAAGGTTCCTTAAAAAAATTTAATGTACATCTTCGCTTAGGAACACGATTCAAAAATTTAATGTACCTTTGGCAACTCCTATTAATCAAAACACGATTCAAAGTTTGGTAAAAGAAATTTTATGACCTGTGGAGGCAGAGGAACTTATGTCAATATATAAATCTTGCATTGAGTTGTATTGCCCATCAAATGACCAACAAACCTTTAAAGGCCAAAGAAACATTAGAATTGATACAAGTGACGTTATAACTATTCCAGCAAGAGGAGACTATGAGTATTTAGCATATTTACTTATGAAGACGACTATATTTACCTAATGCATCATGAATTTGAAACATTTGAGAAATTCAATGAGTTTGAGGTTGAAGTGGAGAATAAATTAGGTAAACTTATTAAAACTATTCAATCTTTTTGAGATGATGGCACAATTCATATCTCATGCCAAAAACAAAGTTTCTAAATAAAACAAACCGTGTTCAACTAATATAAAACTTTCAATATCGGTTATCAACAAAACCGGGTACAAGACATATGAATAAATTTGAAAAACTTAGCCATTAGGCAGCTAGCATCCTTCTTTTTCCATCTTCATTGTCTTCTTATTTGGAACATCTCGTCTTATACCAACCTAAACAAGTCCTTCACTCTTCTCCCAATGCTTTCTGATTAGTAAAACCAAAGCAAGAAAGAAACAATCTTTAATTTTTCAATATTACAAGGACATCCAATAATCTTTAATTTTAAAAAGAAAAAATCTAGAGGAACCGAAATCCAATCTTTTTTCTTTTATCCTAGTATTTATTATGAGTTCAGTCAATTTGGGTGTAATTCAAAATTGTAAACCCATTGTTTGAGCCCCACAAACACAATCACATGAAATCTAATATTGAAAAAATCATCAACGCTAAATTTCAGATTAGTAAGAGAAAATTAAAATGATAAAATATTCAAGGAAAGGAAGGAAAAAAACATACCAATACACACGCATTCATACATTTATAAGTATGTAGATTGGTTTGAATGTCTAGATGGCTAATAAAACAATAGTAGATGTAGATTGTTTTTAAAATCGGTGAGAGGGGAATAAATTTTGATTTAAAAAAAATATATAAAGAAGGTAGGGGAACCATTTTATAAATTTATAATTAAGGGATGAGACCAAATCTCAAACACGTGTTTGGAATAGATAATAACATTTGAAACTTTCCATCTCTATTTGTGAGCGTGTGGGAGAGAGTACCTCAAAATCCTGAATGTTGTTTAAGATTGATCATTCATCAGTATCTGAATCTTCTTCGACATCATCTTCATATTTAGCTAAATTTAATGTATCCAACAATCTTTTATTTCTAGTTGTTATGATGATCCTACTACCACTGCCAAGCCATTCAGGTCCTACTCCAACTAAGTACTTCAATGTATGTTCATCATCTACATCATCAAGTACTAGAAGAAGCCTTTTGTTACGAAGTCTATTCTCTATCTCCTTGATTCCCCTATCAGGATGTGATATTGTTATAGTATCATCCTTTAGGACCTCTTTGAGAAGATCACTTTGTAATTTAGCTAGACCACCATCCTTTGTTGACTCTTCTCTCACGTTTTTAAGAAAACAACTCCGGTCAAATTTTTGTGATACACAGTTAAAAATAGCTTTGGCAAGGGTTGTTTTGCCTGCTCCTCCAATTCCACAAATTCCAAGAAAGAGTTGATCCTCACCGAGCAACTTGATTATTTTCTCCACACGCTCTTTGATACCCACTTCATAATCAGCAACATGAAATGGTTTAGGCAATTTTTTTGAAATCTCTTGAACAATTATTTTGATAAACTTGCCTTCGTTCCTATGAAGTAGAAATTAAGCACATAAAATCAAAATCTAGAACAGAATATATATATATATATATGTGCTGACATTCATTTGATAGTCTAACAAAAAAATAAGAGTGAGTGAACTTGTTAGTAACAAAAAACAGATTAACACAATTAAATATGAAGTTTGCCACCAAATAATGGCAGTCTAATTTAGTTATGAGACTGTACTGGCACTAGGAATGTTAATATTTTCATTGTTCAAATAAAACAATAATACACTGATATATTCATTGAACTAATAAGCTACTAGTAAACTGATGAAGCAGAACATATATATATATATATATATATATATATAGTTATTTACCCATCTGCTGCATCTTGTAAATCCAAGCCGCATAGATTTGCTGCTTCCTTCAAAGCTTTCCTTCGTCTCTCCACCCTTTCCATCTCTCTAGGACGGAACATATATATAAATGCTTCTGCAAAACCTTCAAAGCAGAATATGTATCTAAATGCTTCCGCAAAACTCCTCTTCTGGTTCCGAACTTGCGCCGGTTTCACATCGTAGAAGATGGGCAGCACTATCTGTCCCTTGGTCCTCCTGCATTCAAGGATCTCCACCAGTTCATCCAAGCACCATAATGAATTAGCGTAGTTTTTGGAGAAGACGATCACAGCAATTCTTGATTCATTAATATATTTGATGAGCTCTGGAGATATGGATTTTCCTTGCTCAAGCCTTTCGTCATCTTTGAAGGTCCTGATTCCTCTGTCACACAGAGCGGCGTAGAGATGGGCCACAAAGGTTTTGCAAGTGTCTGGGCCTCTAAAACTTAAGAACACATCATATTCAGATCCAGGCACTGATGAAGATGATAAAGAAGAAGCCATAGGATTTTTGCTAAATTGTGTGCCAAATTACTCGGAGCTAGTGATCTAGATAGCAATTAGTATATATATCTAGAGTCTGCATATATATATTATAGTAGATCTTGTACATATATCTAAAAAGAGGAATTTGCTTGTGACTTTCCATCGCCTCCCACATTCCCACTTTACGCGTATACATAAAGATGAGGAATTTGCTTGTGACTTTCCATCGCCTCCCACATTCCCACTTTACGCGTATACATAAAGATGAGGAATTTGCTTGTGACTTTCCACGCAGCTTCCTATCTCTCTTTTATGGCAGTGACTTTGAACTCAATGGACCCATAACATAATAATGTGCAAAGCAATTTCCTGCTTCCATCTGTGGCCATCAGGGAATGCGCGTTTTAATTGAACACAATGAGTTGGTTGGTGGGGGTGCCGCAAGTTACTTATCAGGTAATTGCAAAAGTAAAGAAATAGATACTAGTAAATATATATGACGACGAAAATAATTCAAATTTTATTATAAAAATTTATATAAAAATAGATTCAATCAAATTTGTACTTATTTTGGGACTGACCTTTTTGAATGGTGCCCTTAAGAAGCATCTTTCTAACATTAATGGTTGCTTGGATTAAAATTTATTTATTTTTATAATTTTTTCATTGTATTATAATTACTGATTAATTATTTAGTATGCTTATTTCATTTTGCTTTATATTTTGACTAAATGCACAACAATTATGTTGAATTTCTTATATTATTTTTAAATTGTGCATGGGATGGATGACAATTTATTTAGCTTTTTTTTAAAAAATTAAAAAGAAAATTGTTTATAATTGATATGAAATTGTGACATATAAAGAGTTGGTAAAACATGCATAGCTGAATTTCAGTTATGTACCCATTTATATATATATATACATATATATATATATATTTATGTACTCCATCGCGCTAAGCTTGATGAGCTTGATTTACAATGATTCTGGAGGTGTTTGGTGTTTGTTCTGTTTGCCAGGAAATATATATATATATATATATATATATGTCAAAACTTTTCAAACAATTTATTTAAGGGAAGATTAATTCATACTCATACTTATTGAAATACGTACTTATTCATAATTATTTTATTGTGTAACATACAAACATGTACAATATGACATAAGATATTTTCTCAATGATTTCTTGACTATTTTAAAGGATAATACTAATTGAGGAATTTTTTTTTTTTTTTTTTGTTTTAAAATTTGAAATTTGAAACAAACATAGACTATATATCTTTGAGAGTTTTATGGTACAATTTAATAGTATAGAGCCTATGGCTAATATCTTTTTTGCTTTTCGGATGGGGCCAAGTAATAAATTAAGTTTTTTAAAAATTCTACTTTTTTTCCCACTTCTATCTTTTGCTCCCTTGCTTTTTTACTTTCATCCCCACTTCTATCTTTTGCTCCTTGTTTTTATTTTAATAATTAAAATAAATAAATAAATACGCGACAATCTATCTTTTCAAAGGTGGAGTGCAAGACTCAAGATGATAAGAAAAATACTAATAATTTATAGTTGAGATTAAAAAGGACAAAACATAACTATTTGGTTATTTATTTGTAATATTATTGTTGATTCTATCAATTAGGACTGTCATTATAGGGATTGAGAAATATAAATATAGCGGTGATGATTTTTTTTCCTTAAAAATAATACAATTACACGATTTATTCTTATTGAGACATCAACCCTTCATCTTTGATAATATAAATAGTGAAATTGAAAAGTTTTAACAACATAAAAACTAGTAAAGAAAAATTATAAATGTATTGAACGAAATTATCATATATTTAAAATTAACTTAAATATTATTTTTATTAAGAATTTAATTTCATTAGTTTTTAAAGTTGCCCCCACCAAATTAATTTATGACTTTGTCAACGTGATCTTTAGATTCAATAAAATGAAATCGAGCTCAAATTCTAAAGGCAATGGAAGGTTTTGAGTGTTTAAATTCTCCACATGGACTAAAGGGAAAAGAAAACAAATGTTTAAAGTTTTCATTTCGTGGTTGGCATCTTTTTACCACCATTCATGGTGTTGATTACATTAAGTGTTGATTACAATTAATGTTCAAGCAATTTCCTAAGTCTTACCTTGCTAAGAGGTGCGAAGTTGGATGCCTTTATAAAAGGAAAAACCAAACCACAAGGTTTGAATGCTTTACTGTTCATCCAATGGTGCTGCTTTTGTTGCTTGGTTGCTTTTGAATGTAGTCTTTGAAAAAAAAAATTTCTTTGAAAAGGTCCGCTACGCGTTATTTATTTAATGTAAATAATTTTATACATAACTTCCACAAATTCTCACTATGATAAATAAATTCTAATCTCCCCCTTTAAAACAAGAGATATTATATAATCTAAGCCAATGACTTGGTGATATACTACATGTTATAAAGGTTTCATTTAAATTAGTTATTATTATCATTATTATATAAGCAAGAAACTCATACATTTATTTTGTTCCTATAGAGATTTAAAATTAACTTAAATATTATATATTTAAAATTATTATATATTTAAAATTAACTTAAATATTATTTTTATTAAGAATTTAATTTCATTAGTTTTTAAAGTTGCCCCCACCAAATTAATTTATGACTTTGTCAACGTGATCTTTAGATTCAATAAAATGAAATCGAGCTCAAATTCTAAAGGCAATGAGGTTTTGAGTGTTTAAATTCTCCACATGGACTAAAGGGAAAAGAAAACAAATGTTTAAAGTTTTCATTTCGTAGTTGGCATCTTTTTACCACCATTCATGGTGTTGACTACAATTAATGTTCAAGCAATTTCCTAAGTCTTACCTTGCTAAGAGGTGCGAAGTTGGACGCTTTACTGTTCATCCAGTGGTGCTGCTTTTGTTGCTTGGTTGCTTTTGAACGTAGTCTTTGAAAAAAAAAAATTCTTTGAAAAGGTCCGCTACGCGTTATTTATTTATTTATTTAATGTAAATAATTTCATACATAACTTCCACAAATTCTCACTATGATAAATAAATTCTAATCTCCCCCTTTAAAACAAGAGATATTATATAATCTAAACCAATGACTTGGTGATATACTACATGTTATAAAGGTTTCATTTAAATTAGTTATTATTATTATTATATAAGCAAGAAACTCATACATTTATTTTGTTTCTATAGAGATTTTAATTCTTTATCTTTTACTTTAAAAGACGAAAAAGCTAGTAGGATGATATTACTGTAAGACCCGTGTAAAATACATATATATATTTATATCATATATTTATTTACTTAATATAATTTAATGGTTATCTCTGATTTAATTTAAACGGGTGATTGTGATAAAGTTTGTTAAATAATTTAAATTTTTTTATAAAAAAAACTAATTTATCTCACCAGACTCCCTATATCTCTATAACTCTCTAATACGTTTTATTTATATATATATAAAAAAAAAGAGATACTAGCACGATAACGGGAGAAGAAGGGACCAGAGAGAGTGATTTGACGTCGTGTTTTCCTGCAGTAGCCGGGGGAAAGGAACGGTAATCGGGAAGTTGCGTAGAAAGGAAGAATTATTTATACCAGGCAAGTTAATCTTGCTTTATATTTTTATATATGTTTACGACTTAATTTATAAAATTTCTTAAAGAATTATTCTAAGACTGTTCTAGCGTATTTTAGTCAATTGTTTGATGGAAATCTATGATTATTTGATATATGAACCTGTTTAGTAGATTAATATGTGGTTGTTACTCGCTGTTTGGTATTTAATGAATTGTAATACGGAGTTGTAGGTGTAATCGTGTTGGATCTAATTATAAATACATATGGGTTCCAGTATACATGTTACCACATGCACTCTATTGGGTACTTATTATATTCATTGCCTATAATTCTAGATTTTTTTTCTGATTGAATGAAAGTTAGTTAATATATATGCTTATGTGGGGACATATACAGAATTATGAACTTATTAATAGCATGAACCAATTGTGATTGGATTTTTGGGAAGTAAATGACATAAAAATTTGTATGCTGACTAGTAAATATATAGGTACTTATGTTGGATTTCATGAAAGAATTTGTGTTCCTATATATAGGTGACTACGTGTATCTATTTAGTATAAAATTTGCCTAAATAGTGGGACTGAACTTTAAAGACTTTGCTTAATTAAATTGATTATGCTATTTAATTATTAGGAATAGATTAGACATGTCACTGAACCTTGAATCTTCTATTTAATTAGTTTATAAATAATTGGAAAATTTATACATACATGAAGTACTTGGACTAAATATATTTTTTAAGAAACTCAATATGTCAAATTATGAGTACCTGTAACTAATTAATTGAAGAGGTGGATCTATATATATATGAAATCTATTAGGTTGATCTGTGATATATATATATATATATATATATATATATATATATATATTTGTTTGTGCAGTTATACAATTGCATAAGGAAGTTTAGATGAATGTTAAACTGAATATGTTTGGTGACTAAGTTTACTGGGACGAAATTTCATAGCCAGAATTGGTATTATTTGTACTTCCAGTTGCATGCCTCATTATTAGTTACAGTACTGGATGAATAAGTGATAGTTAAGGTTTATGGGTATGAGTATGATGATAAAATTTCATATTATTATATCACAATTCACCATAATTAATAATTAATGGATGAGTTTGGATTAGTCGGAGGGGTAGTCAGGGACTGACCCTATGATGACTTTTTGGGTATGGTCAGGGACCTACCTAATTGGGAGTGCACTACCCTTTTGTTATGGTCATGGGTCTAATGAGCCCTTATTGTGTGGACGTGATCAGGGATCATCTGGGAAGTAGACGTACAATCCAGCCACACGTGTGTTTTTGGTAGTCAGGGACTATACGATTCACACCATTTTATTGGACGGGAGCCTGGGGCTCATGTGAGATATGCCGATTTATTAAAAAAAAAATAAAAGATGGTTATTTATTAAGTTTATAATTAACTGGGTTATACACATTTGAATAATGAACTTATTTGAGTTGCTTATATATACAGGAATATAAGGTAAGGTTAATTTGCTGAACGATGATTGTGTTTAACATTTATTGCTGAGCTTGTGAGCTCACCCCATTATCACATTTCAGGTACACGTTGAGTAGGAACGTGATGGGATTACATGATGGTGATGGGTTTTGGCTTGTTTGTCGCATTCTTTGGTTTAGTTCAATTTTCGCATTGTAATAAGAATGACG